GGGACACTCACCTGGAGCTTCCTTCTAGAGTTCGTTGTATTTCTTCCCACAATGGGCCATTCTCCAAGTCTTTATATAAAACACTTTGACAATCACAGTAGCACATAGGCTATGGGCCTTAGAATCTCATGCAGAGGCACAGCACCTCCCACTCTGGTGCAAGACTAACAGTACCAGGCTTTGCAGTGTTACACCCTACTAAACCCATTGAAGTCAGTGGGTGTAACTCTGCTAAGCTTGGCACTGTAAGTCTGGGGAAGCAACAGCCATTGCCACATTGCCTTTCCTATCTCTCCCTCCACCCCCACAATTCAGCAAGAGAGATCCACTCACAGAAGAAGCCATCTGCATATGCTACCAATGTGGATGCAAAATACACACCTGTATCTAGGCTTACCAAGGTCCGGCGGGGGATTCATATTTCCCAAACAGCCCCATTGCCAGAGCGACGCGGAGCGTCACATCCTGGCGACGGCGGGTGCAGCGCGTGGAGCCGTCCCCGCGGCAAGGCTCCTGGCAAGAAATACGAATCCCCCGCCGGACCTTGGTAAGCCTACCTGTATCTGCATTGTGATATTCATCCACTATTATAATTGTTCATTAGCTAGTGATGCTGATAGTAGTTGTGTGCTTGATGTTGGATCAGAGCTTCTGGGTACAAACCCTCCTTCCTGTTGACTGTCAGGGTGCAATATTCTTTTCCCATTGGCTGCAGTGGCAAAATAATAATTCATCTAATGGAACTGGACAATACCATTAATTTGTAAAATGGAACGAATTGATAAAATTTATTAAAATTAGAAATCTGGAGAAAGAGAATAATTTGTTTCAGGTGTATTGATGTATTTGTCCTTCTAATATTTTTTTTATCTTTTTCCAGATGTTAGGGACAAATCTAAGTTTCTTTCTTTCTTTTTCTTTTTTCTTTTTTTGGAGTTTAACCACAGGGTATAAACCCAATGTTCACATCAAGTGGATTTTTATTTTATCATTTGGCACAATTACTTTGGTGAAGTATCATTTCCAGATAAATCTAAGTTTCTGAATGGCCTGACTGGTTTGTTTGTTTTCTGACACTTTTTTTTTCTTAGTTGAAATTTCCTTTTCTCCTTCCTCTATTTTTCTTTCCATGCATTCCTTTTCTGAATCAAAATGATATGGGGCAGAACAAATCAGTGCCATACAAAAAATTCCAGTGATTTAATTTCAAAACAATTTAACTTGGTTGTTTTGTTTTTTGGCAGACTTTTCAGTATCCTCCTAGCAAGCCCTACCCACCAGAAGTAAGTTCTTTTACAAAACTCCATTCATTAATTCATTCCTGTAGTGCTCCTTAAAGCTTTCATGAATATGACATCCAGCTGAGCAACTAAGTGGAAGTCACCTAGTCAGATGTAACTTTTTTTTCCAAAAGTAGTTATTTGGCGAACTTATGAGGGATGTGTTTTCTTTACAGCGTACTTCAATCACAGCGGTAAGGATGCTTTTGCTTTCCTTGTTCTACCCTAAAACTACCCAGGGCAATTCGCACATTAGATTTCTAGTCATAATGAAATTTATTCCCAGGTGCCTGTGGACCTGTAATGTGTGAATACATTTCGATCGCTTTCTGACACTGCTCTCCTACTAAATTTCATTTTAATCGGGAACAATATGTTATGTGCATAAAATGCACAACTTATGTTTTCAAGAGTTATTATATAACTGGGAACTTTGGGAACCAGCCTTTACTATATACCATTTTGCATAGTTTCTCCGGTATGTATGCTTTAAGCATGCTAGGATATGGGAGACAGCTTATATTTCATTCCTCTCACACACACATACACACACACACATCTGTCACATAAACCATGTGCAAGCCCATGATATGTACAGTCTATCTAGTGCATGGGTAACAACATCCCGCTAGATCAGACCAGTGGTTCATCTAGTCAAGTGGATGCCAGTCTCCAGGTGGGGCCTGGTGATCTCCTGAAATCACAGCTCATCTCCAGACTACAGAGATCAGTTCCCTTGGAGAAAATGGATGCTTTGGAGGATGGACTCTGTGGCCTTGTACCCCACTGAGATCCCTGTTCTCCCCAGGCCCCACCCCCAAATCTCCAGGAATTTACCAACCTGGATCTAGCATCCTTATCCAGTATCCTGTTTCATAGGTCAGCCAGGACGTAGAGGTCTGTTGTAGCCTCCTACTATCCAGTATCCTGTTTCATAGGCCAGCCAGTTGCCCGAAAGGGCTAGTAAACAGGACGTAGAGGTCTGTTGTAGCCTCCTAGCGGTGGTATTCTAAGATTTACAGTCTCTAGGTGTGGAGGTTCCCTTTAGTCATTATAGCTAGACGTCATGGATTGACCTAGCCTCCATGAATCTAGCTAATACCCTTTTACAACTGCCCATCACTATCTCCACTGGCAGTGAATTCTACAGTTTAAGCTCGAGTACTTCTTTTTATATGCCATGAATTCATTCTATAGTTTAAACTTGAGTACTCCTTTTTATATGCCATGAATCTATTACCCATCAACTTATTTGGGTGTATCCAAATTCTAGTGTTATGGAAGAAGAAGAAGAAGTTCCCTCTTATTTTCCTCAACCAGTTGTAGTACAATTCTATCATGTCCCAATTTAGCCTCCACCCAAAAAAACTGAAGCTCTAAGACTCTTCAGCCTTTCCTCATAGGAAAATTCTCCAGCCACTTAATGGTCTTGGCTGTCCTGTTCTGTTCCCCCCAGCTCTGCAAGATCTTTTTGAGATAAGGCAACTAGAATTGTACACATTATTCGAAATGAAGCCTGATCTCATCATATCTTGAAAGCTAAGCCTTGGTTACTACTTGGATGGGAGACCACCAAGGAAGCCCAGGGATGCTATGCAAAGGCAGGCAATGGCAAACCCCCTCTGTTTGTCTCTTGCCTTGAAAACCCCACGGGGGGTTGCTATAAGTCGGCTGCATCTTGACGGCACTTTCCACCATTAGTAGCTTTTACATAGAAGCCAGTAGGTGTTATCCTTAAATAAAAAAGTGTCCAGGGAGCAAGTCAGCCAAGAAAACCCAGACTTATCAAACTTGCCCAATCCCTGCTGGTACTTCCTGTCAACAGTCAATCCTATTATTACCCTGGTTATTTTGAGAAGGAACATTCCCTGGCCCCTGTGTGCCAATCACATCCATAGTATAACATCATACATATGACAATAATTATGCTGTGTGCGGACATACAGTATGAATGAAATTAATTTTGATTTCCTTTTAGCAACTTGCCAACTCTCACTATAAGCATATTCAGGTAAGCATTCCTCCACTACTTTATTTAGAGCAGATTCAGGAGCCGTTGGTGCAGAGACTTCACTGTAAGATGTAAAGTGAGGAATGAAGTGAGAAGAGATTGCCAAGTTTATTGTTTTAAACCAGTGGTGTGCCCTCCGTGGCCTGAAAGCCACATATGGCTGTTTCATGTGCCACCTCTGGCTCTTCTGATTCCAGTTCCTGGAGATTCACTCTGCTTTTCCACTGGTTCACCTGGAAGTAAATGCATGTAACAAGTTTCACTAATGTGCACGGGCAGCCATAAAAACGATAAAACTGCATTTAAAAAATGAATGTTGACATTCTCATGGTGCCTAATTCTTCACAAAATGCCAGATTTCTACATCTGTCAAATGCTCAGGAGCATGTAATACCCGAATGTTTAGCTGGTGTAAATCTCTGAAGAAAAACTGACTCCAATATTAATTTGCCACTTAGTATTACTGAGCGCTAATACATAATAAGTCAGGTTGGTGAGTCAGGTTCTGCAACTGAGTCACAGGAAGCTTTTGGAATGGTCTGATTCCAGTTCCTGGAGATTTACTCTGCTTTTCCACTGGTGTACCTGGAAGTAAATGCATGTAACAAGTTTCACTAATGTGCCATAAAAACGATAAAACTGCATTTAAAAAAAGGAATGTTGACATTCTCATGGTGCCTAATTCTTCACAAAATGCCAGATTTCTACATCTGTCAAATGCTCAGGAGCATGTAATACCCGAATGTTTAGCTGGTGTAAATCTCTGAAGAAAAACTGACTCCAATATTAATTTGCCACTTTGTATTACTGAGAGCTAATACATAATAAGTCAGGTTGGTGAGTCAGGTTCTGCAACTGAGTCACAGGAAGCTTTTGGAATGGGGTTCTGTTAAGTTTGCAAAATAAGAGAAAGAATGCAATATTCATAATCACACCATTTCCTTAATGCAAGCAAATTTGCTTCTGTTTCCTCTGCAGAGCACTCAATATGGCGGCAAAGTACAGACCCAGGTATGACGATCCTTTGAATCTTTTTTTAGCATGTATACCTTCATAGTAACAATTAATGGCTAGGAGAAAAGAGCAAGAGTCCAGTAGTACCTTAAAGACTAACAAAATTTGTGGGCGGACATGAGCTTTCATGAGTCACTGCTCACTTCTTCAGATACAGATAGAATGTGAGTCCATCTGTCGTAACTAATGGAAAGTGGAGTTTACAGAACAACAGTGCAATCCTATGCAGAGCTACTCCAGTCTAAGTGCATGGATTTCAGTGAATTTAGCCTGGATTAACTGCATAGGATCTCAGTGTAAGTGGCTCACTGCTCAGGAGCCATTTAGACAAGCTTGGGATCTTGTCCTTTATTTAGTGTTCAGTTCTATAGTTGAAGGAGCTGCGGTGGCTCAAGTGGTTAAGACACTGAACTGCAGGCTGTGGAAGATCGGTAGTTCAGCAGTTCGAGACCCAGGTGTGCCGCATGATGGAGTGAGCTCCCGTCTCTAGTTCCAGCTCCTGCCAACTTAGCAGTTCGAAAGCAAGAAATTGCAAGTAGATAAATAGGTACCGTTCCGTGCGCCTTGGTGTTTAGTCATGCCGGTCACATGACCACGGAAACATCTTCGGACAGCGCTGGCTCTTTGGCTTTGAAACGGAGATGAGCACCGCAACCCTAGAGTCGGATTCGACTGGCTTTCGAGCAAGGAAACCTTTACCTTTACTTTACTTTTCTATGGCTGAATCTCCCCAGGTATTTCTGGAACCTAAAAGCCCCACCTACCTCACAGGGTGTCTATTGTGGGGAGAGGAAGGGAAGGAGATTGTAAGCTGCTCTGAGATTCAGAGTGAAGGGTGGGATATAAACCAACTCTTTTTCTTCTACTACTACTACCACTTTTAAATGATCATCTCAGGAAATCTCTGTACAAATCATGACAGGACATCCTACAGCTAATACAGCTTGGTAATCTACTACTTTTCCCCCTACAGAGTTTACAACCCCAAAGTGGCATCCGTATTACCATTCAGGTAGCTATAATCAAATAAATCAGTCATCAATAAATGTTGTATTTCAATAAAATCCTACCCTTCAGTGTTTGTCCAAATAGTGACCCTAATCACAGCTGTCTACTGTGAACTTTGCAGTTGTGAAAATCGATTCAGCAGGTGTTTGTGGCCGCTTGGCATGAACCAAACAGACCAAGTGATTGGCTCACATTTGATTGCCACCTTCAAACAGAGTCAATTTGACAATTTTGAGTCCAGTGGCACCTTTAAGACCAACAAAGGTTTATTCAAGGTATAAGCTTTCATGTGCATGCACACTTTTCCAAATACATTGGAATGAAAGGCAGAGGCTGAACAGCAAATTAGCATGTAATATGATTATGATGTTTTAAGATATATGAATACAAAACTAAATAACGAACTAAGGTTATAAGGTCAACAGTTGTTTTGCGGTGAAATTTTCAGCATCCCTAAAAAGAACAGCATTTAGCTGTTTGATGAATACTTGGATGAGGAATTGAGAGAGTAGTAGTCAAGCTCCCCACAACTACTTCCCAAATTTTGCTGCTGGCAAATCTCATCGTGTAAACCACTGCTCCATCTATTCCTCACCCCTGACTGTGGTATTGTGGGTATCTGATAGTACTACAGGAGACTTAAATTTAGTCAATTGATAACCGTAATGTAATCAGAAAACAAGCTTCATATTTGCTTGATATCGTTAACAGCAAAGAGAGTCTAGGGCTACAATTTTACCTCTCTTTCTGTGTTCATCTTCCTTGTTGACCATGGGTCCCCCCCCCCAGACCAGTACAAGTGTTAGATTTCTGGGTATTCACCTTTACAATATTTAAGATTTTTCTGCAGAATTATCTGCTATAGCTCTGGTAGCCTCAATTCATCATGATCCACTTGCAAAGGGCTGTGACCCACTTTTACATCCCAACCCACAGTTTGAAAATAATTGCCATACGTATTACATTTAAACTGTCTTCTCTTTTAAAATGGTTTCCACTGGTTTATTTTTCCTCAGAGTGGCCCAAATGTGCGGGTCTGTGATAAGGTAAGAACTGTTTCATTCAACTCAGAGTTGATTGCATCTCAGAAGAACTCATGTTCACACAATTCTGTGCACATTGGAAGCTAAGATGGGTTGGCTTTGGCTAGTATTTGGAAGGGAGACCTCCACGGAATACCAGGGTTGTGATGCAGAGGTAGGCAATGGCAAACCACCTCAGAAACATCTTTGGCCTTAAAAACAAGTCAAGTTTGCCACCTAGTGGTGCATAATGCTAAAAGGGCTAGAACTTCTGGCTGCCAAACAATCTTAGGACTCTATACACAATGCCATACAATAATTATTAATTAATTATTTGTGCACATTAAGGTTGATAAGGATTTGGGTAAGCCTGAACTGATTTTTCTGTGTTTTGCTCAGAGGTTATATTAAACACTAGCTGCTTCTGAACTCAGTAAATTCACTCTTGATCTCAACTGAATTTAGTAGTGGATTGGTACAAATACATGATTGGGCCTGATTTGTGCATGTGCAGCAACCAACAACGGGTTTTCATATGATCTTTTGAGCCCCTGACAATTGAGAGAGGTCAAGTTTTATCAGTCCATGCTGATGATTTACTTCTGTACCCAGAAGGTTATGTGCATAAATTATATGGGATATAGGTGGTCAACTGATGTGTATTCCAAAATATTTTATTCCCTCCTCCTGATAGCTATACCAAAAATGCTTCCATGTTGTAAGAAAAAAAAATTCCACATTGATATATCACCCAGTGTATAGATTTCTGTAGTAGTGTATCACTACTGAGGAAATTCCCCAAGCATATAAATCTCAAAGATGTATAATTTGGATTATGCATAAACTGTAATGCTTGATTTATGATCATTCCATTATTTAATTCTGAGTCATTTTTTCGTATTGGGTTGCATAAAGGTAATTCATCGTGGCTCTCCCTATTCTAATCAAATGCATGCTAACAGAGCTTTAAACATATTGCGATAACTTAACACAGTAATTTTCTATTCAGGAAATAATGGCTTTGGGGTTCTCTTTTTCTTTTATAGACTTCATCCTCCTACAACATCCAAGCCTGTAAACAGGTAAACACATTCAAAGCATGATTGTGGGTTTCAAGAACAAAACCTGACTCTTTTTTTCCCCCTGTGAGGCAGATGTAAGAAACATGTGTTCTGTATTATCACTTTACCAAGACCTCCTAATGAAACATACAAGAATAACGACTGGTTCATATAGGGATGTATATCACTAGATTTCTTAATGCCTAGAAGCTTGTTGTAGGTTCAAAGACAAGCATCCTCCCTTGACAGGGAAGTGCATCCAAATGGGCACTCCCTGCTGATACAAAGGTGATTACAGGCTTCTGAAGCAGCTCCTGCTCCATTGCAGTAGAGGAAAGCCATGACTGTGGGGAGGGGCTGTGGCTCAGTTGAAGAACATCTGCTTGGCATGCAGAAGCTCCCAGGTTCAATCCCTGACATCTCCAGTTTGTTTGTTTTTAAAGGACCAGGCAGTAGGTGATGTGAATGTCCTCCACCTGAGATGCTGGAGAGTTGCAGCCAGTCTCAGTAGACAATACTGACTTTGATGGACCAAAGGTCTGACTCAGTATAAGGCAGCTTCTTGCTTTGGGGAAATAGCACTTCTGAGAAGAAGTGAATGGGCACCAGGAAATACATCAGTATGTACCACGGTGCCTACAAACTACATATTTGGGATCACTGGGCTAAAATCTCATCTTCCATTTGTTTTTAGGAAGCAGAAGGATAAAAATCTATGGTGTCTGGTGTGAGGCAGATAATTTCTGTCTCTTCCACCCCTGTTAGATTGGAGAAGCCTTTTCCCCCTACTTGTCCAAAGAAAAACATGCAGCTAAGGTTAGAGAGGAATCATGGTGCGATAGAACATAGGTTTTCCATGTGTAAGCTCCTTGGTTTAGTTCCTAGTATCACCAGTTAAATGATATTAGGCAAAAGGTGCTGAAAAGAACTCTGAAAGAGTCTCTGGCTAGATGAACCAATGAAAGATTTAGAAAGGGGCCATGGTTTTGTGGTAAAACAAATATTTTGCATGCAGTAGGTCCCGGGTTCAGTACCTGACACATGACCAGTTAAGCGGTCAGATATTAAGTGATGGGAAGGATCTTTCTTTGCCTGAAATTCTAGAGAGCTACTACCAGTCAGAGCAGAAAATATAGATGGACAAATGGTGTGACTTAGTACAAGGCATATGTTGTACATTTTCACACACTTTTTCATCACCATGTATTAAAAAACACATGTAAATCTTGTGAATTTTGCAGACCAAAACTGTTCAATTTCTGTTTTCTTTCCAGAGTATGCAGTCTTCCACATCACAGAGCAGCAGTTCTTATGGGTCACAGGTAAATTATCTATCAGTACCTAGATAGATAATATCTTGAAGCATGTCCTACTGATTTCACTAGGACTACAGAGGGCCCTTTTAGATGCTATCTTCATAGTGAAGGAGCTGCTGCAGCTTGTGACAACCTGAACTTCCATGGGAGGAGCTCACGATGCAGCTTCTTCCCATGCCAGTTGCCACTCTGGTTTCTGGGAAGGGCACCCTTTAACATGGGAGGGTTCCTCCCGTGTTCTAGTTTCTCCATAACAGCAATCTTCTCCTACACAAAAGCTTTGATCCAAATGTATGCATGTGCAGTTCAAGGGTTTATATTCATAACAGCCCTCTTTTACAAAGCATTCATTGGCAGGAAGAAAGGAATAGCAGGAGCTAAATCCATCCCCTACTCCTGAGAAAAGCTGATAAGTGTGATCATTGGTTTTCTCAGGGGACTTTTTGTGCATCGTCCTGGCAACAGTTTCAGGGGAAAGAACCACATACACAGCACTAGTTTGCACGTGTGCTTCCTCATGTAGCTGGAAATATATGAACACAACCACTTTCTATATGTCTGTCATTTCTAACTGGATAAGATGAGAACATCAAAGCAAGTATACTCACAGAGTTGGATCCAAGGCTGGCCAATCACTGGTAGTAGTGGTCACTACTGGATAACTGAGAAAATCCCACTGAGTGCTACATAGTTTTCCTGTTATTGTTAAGGGTCTTTGAATGCCCCAACTCTGACCTTTTCTGATGGAAGCATTGAACATGCCAGGGGCAGAGGTGAAGAGATATGTCTCTTGACATATCAGAGGTGTAGGTGGGGGAGGGGAGATGGAAACGCTCAGTAGTTTTGTATTTATATCTTAGCACTACATTCTAGACTCTGCAATGAAATGAAATGCCTATGTACATATCAGACACCAGCAAAAACACTGGAAGCTTTGAGACAATCACATCCTGCTTTGGAAAATTTCACAACTTAGGTTTTTACTTAATAATTAACTTACTTGAAATCTACCACAAATGGAGCAACTATATGTGAGCGAAACACCACTAAGTAATACTTGGATAGCATTAGCTGGCTTCAGATTGCCTAGCAACAATCTTTGCTTCTCAGCTTGTTCAACAACTTTCTCTCAAAATCTTGTGTTCTTCCTTTCCCCCCATATATCTAATTGTTTCATGCCCCTGTTTTACTTGCTTTTTTAGTTCTTCATTCCTATTTTCCTCATGGCTGTGAGGTCAGAGGTTGTGATCACACAGGCAATTTGGTTCAGCATAGCACCCCATGCCCCCGGATCAAAGTGGCATGATCAGACACACACATCTGGCACTTGGCAGCCATCCGTCCCTATCTTGTTGCAAAATGACTCCCATATGCCTTAAACAGCCACCGGGAAAATTTGATGGTTTTCCAGGTGAGGTGCTTCCGTGACATCTTTTCTGGCGTCTGAACACACAGGTGCGCTATGGAAGCGCAGGAGCCGTGTGATCACCCCCGCTTCCGTGACATCTTTTCGGGCATCTGAACACACAGGTGCGCTATGGAAGTGCAGGAGCCGTGTGATCCCCCCCTCCTGTTCCAGCATGGCAGTATGCTGTTTTCAGCAACCCAACCAATCAGAGGGGCGCACCAGCCATGGCTCCGTGCCGGTGGCGTGGTAGCAATGTGAACCGGCCCTCATGGGCCGACTACCCAATGCAGCTGGCATTGCGGAACCGGTGTGAATGCTGTGAAGCACACCTAACTCCAGTGGCTTTTTACTCCGCAGGATACTGCTGCGGCAACCTGCCTGTCTGGACACAACCAGAAATGGGCCAAACATGTCTATGGCTGTGAGGTCAGAAATCACAGTGTGTCAGCCCTAACCACACACATTGTAGGAAAACAGTCCTATATATAAGGGAGGAATGTGAAATGGGAGTAGCTTATTCCAACTTGGGTATAATACCTCTCCTCCAGTGAAGCCAGATGTTCCCTGTGTATCAGAGGGGCTTAGGGCTAAACTACATGATAGGTTTGCTTACAAGTTGTCTCAGAGTTCACCACTTTAATCAGATTCACACCAGCTCCAAGAATACCACTTTGGAAGCCTTAGAAGCTGATTTTGGTAATAATGGGCAGCATGGGCGGAAGAGAGGGTTCCTACTTCCCCTCTCCCTAGCCTCCAGTGGGAAGCTATTTGCGAATAACTTCCTACTGGGGGTTCTTTGGACTCAAGACAAAAAAACTGGGTAGGAAACAGGAGCTCCCTCATCCACCCATGGTGCCCTTTGCCAGCTAAATCAACTTCTGAGGCTTTTTAAAGGCTTCTGAGACGTCTTGGAACTGACGTCTGACTGACCAAACTGGTGAATCCAGAGATAGGTTGTAAATAAGCATATGATATAGTTTAGCCCTTACAGTTTGGTGTAGTGGTTAAGTGTGCAGACTCTAATCTGGGAGGACCGGGTTTGATTCCCTACTCCTCCGCTTGCAGCTGCTGGATGACCTTGGGCAAGCCATAGTTCTGTGAGAGCTGTCCTTGAAAGGGCAGTTCTCAGAAGAGCTCTCTCAGTCCCACCTACTTTACAGGGTGTCTGTTGTGGGGAGGGGAAGGAAAAGGAGTTAGTAAGCCGTTCTGAGACTCCAAGTGAAGGGTGGGGTATAAATCCACTCTCCTCCCCCCACCCATTATATGTTAAATTCTTACACCCAGGGGTTTTTAGATGGATTAAGCAAAACAGGGGTAAATGGGCAAGCAAGGCCCATTTCTACCCCCCACACACACACATCCTGTCTCAAATCCACTGGCTGAGACAGAAGAGTGGACTAAGGAACATATATCAAGCCATGATGGGGATGTCCACTTGGAAGGTTTTGGGATTTCCTAGATCCCTCAAACACCCTGTTTAGGCAGAACATGGGGTAGCTGTACCAAGACCTTCACAAGTTAAGAAGTTGTCTGGAACTTTGAAACCAAAAACAATTACCTTGGAAAATTATGCTAGTTCTACAGGTTCTCCTTGTGTTTGGTTCTGTAACCGTTTTGCCTTCTATACAGTTATTTCAATAACCTGTACATTCAATAACCTGAGCCTATATCAGACAAGTTTCATGGGATCTCACTAACCTCTCCTTTTGCCAGGGTTTTAATTATTTTGGTTCAAAGAAACACTACTTAATTTTCTTTTGTCCCCTTAAAACATCAGTTTAGACACCCTTCACAGGTTCTAGAATAGGAGGAGCTTCATTCTACTCCTTTTAGCCCTTCTCCGGGTAGCTGTTTATTATCCTTCATAAGAGGCACCTGAAATTGAGTATCATATTCACATACTGCTCTCTACATAGAATTCAGACCACATCTTCCTAGTAGTAGCTAACTAACTGGAATCACTGATCCATGAGTCTTTTCAAAGTGATATTGTACATCTAAATAGTAATAAGTAATGAATTGGCAGATCCTACTGCCAGAGTTTAGTAGCTCAAGGCAGTCAGTTGCAGAATTCAGTCACAGTATCAGTTAGCAGGACCTTCAAGGGATGTGTCAATTGCTACATGCTCCAGTCTGTTTGTTTGCAGGGAGTGTGTGCTGATCTGAATGGATAATAGCATAGCAAATACACATGGAAGCAGACAAAGAGGGATAAGATCCACAATGCTATTTACTACAAGATTTCTTTGAAAATGAGTAGAAACTGTAGATACCCTAAACATCACAATAACCCCAAAGTCTCCTGTGCGGGCCTTTCCACCTCAAAGCTTCCTTTTCAGGATTTTTTGAAAATCAAGATGAGCTCTCCCTAGTTTATGCAGTGAAAAGGGAATAAGTTCTTCCATTTTAAAACATTATGGGGATTTTGTCCTTTATTTGCACAGGGTTAGAGCTCAAATACACCCAACAGTGCAAACCTAAGCAGAGTCACACTCTTCTAAGCCCAGTGACTTCAGTGGACTTATTTATTTATTTGAAACATTTTAATGCTACCTTTCCACTCAATGAGGGTCCACAAGTAAGCAAAGATTTAAAAAATAAAATATTTGAGCAATTAAAATATACTTAACATTATAAAATAATTCATTTAAAAACCTATAAACAAACAACATCAGAAGAAGGGCCAGTAACCCTTATTGTGGGTATGTCAGATGAAACAAAAAAGTCTTCACCTGCTGGAGAAAGACACTGAAAGAGGGAGACAGACGAATCTGCCTGAGGAGGGAATTCCAAAGTTCTAAGAAGGTCCTGTCACGGGTTGCCACCCATCTAGCTTTAGATGGTGGGGGCAACTGGAGCAGGGCTTCCGAAGATTACCAGAATGTATGTGTAGGTTCATATGGGAGAAGGCAGTCCGTAAGGTATGTTGGTCCCAGGTGGTACAAGGCTTTAAAATTCAACATCAGCACCTTGAATTGAGGCCAGAAGTAAATTGGAAGCCAGTGTATACGGAACAAAACTGGAGTGATACAATCCCTATGACACACTCAAATCAATACTAGGGGTGAGCAATTTTTTAAAATCAGTATTTTTCAGTCCGGGTCTATTGGATTGGGGGGGGGGGATCGGTATTTCCGAAAAATCCTGGATCCCAATACCAGTATGGTATTTGGGTCCGGGATTTTTTGGAAATCATAACTCTTTTTAGGTCCAATAGACCTGGAGAAGAAAAATACCAGTTAAAAAAAGCCAGCCTCCTCCTGGGGCTGGCTTGGTAATTTGCTCCCGCCTCTCCACTGTTTTCAGATCTACCAGTAATTCCCGAATATATCTGGGATTTTCTCAGGATTTTTTCCTGGTTTTCCCAAGAAAACCTGGATACATTTGGGAAGCCAAAATACACCCCAAAAATACTGATGAGGTATTTGGGTATATTTTTTACTCAGGTAGATCTGAGTGCACGCCCCTAGTCAATACTCTGGCTGCAGCATTCTGTATCAATTGTGGCTTCAGGACAGTCTTCAAGGGCAGCCCCACATACAGTGCATAGCAGTAATCTAATCTACAAGAGTGTGGATATCTTGGTATTGCACAGTAAAACACCAGTCAGTACTCCTGACCACTGTCACCTCACCTGCACATTAAAAGCTTCCTGCAGGTTCCTTTCTTGGATAAGGTGTCAAAAATCAGTTTCAGCCGTTCCTTTTTGTATCCTTGTTTCTAAACATTGGCTCTCCAGTAGCCATTACTTCTACAGGTAGACTACTGAAACTATGGCACTACCCATTCAGAAGGAATTCTGCATTTCCAGCAAATCAGAGTGATACTTAAGACTGATTCATTTCTTATACTTAATTTATTTAACTTTCCACAGGAATCAAGAACTGGTATTGCCCACTTTCCCCCCAAAGCTGAACTGCCCTCTTAAGAAGGAATGGGCTAGACTGGATTGAGAAGAGTCTTAAAAATCTACATTTGCAGGACTGCTGAGTTTAGAAATGGAAACTCTCTTCTTGCCCCCACCCCAGTTAAAACCAGAAATTGACCAAGGCCACTATATCCAGGTGGATTAGAGCTTGTAGTTATACAGTTTAGGAGTCATTATATCTGCCATTCCCCACAAATGTAATAACTGACTTGACCAGATCTTTGCTGCCCTAACACTCTATTAGAAGAAACATGTAGCACAGCCACATAATCTTCTGCTTCCTCCTTTGTGTGGCATTACAAGATGTTTTGACATGTGCATCTCCTGATGCTCCTTTTGGGGAGAAGTATTATTTATAACAGCTTCCTATAGCATGATTCACACAGCAAGATGTTAACTATCCACTAATGGAGAAAAGAATATCAAACTTACTCTCTTATTGGTGGATGGAGGTAGATGAGCCAACTGTTCATTTAAAATATCAAGTCCTTCCTCTTGGAGCAGATGGGAGGAGTAACCCACATGAAGAACACCCTCAATCCTCTAATGAGAAGGTCCCTTCATTATTATGCTTAAGGATCCCACCCGACATACCAGAAAATAATTCCATTACTAATTGAGCAGTATTTTACATTTTTCAACAGGGTGGATCCTCTACTTCATTTGGTGGCAGTGGCTCCTCTACTACAGTTGGTGGTGGCCGTGGTTCCTCAAATTATGGTGGCAGTACCGGATCCTCAAATTATGGTGGCAGTACTGGATCCTCAAATTATGGTGGCAGTACCGGATCCTCAAGTTATGGTGGTGGCAGGCCTTGTGGCCAGGTGAGTAAAAACCCTGACATAGAGTTTTTGAGGAACAGTGCAATCTAACAATAACAGGAAAATGTACTAAAATTATGCCAAGTTCCCTAATTGTGAAGAGAGTTTATTTTTTTTCAATGTATGTAGACAAAATTATATTATCATACCAATACCATGTCCATTCCGATCATTTTGATGAGTGGAATTCTTCAAAATTCATTATATTGTAATAATTTTTGCATGAATAATAGTAACCATGATGGATTTCCTAGGGGCTAGAAATTTTCCCTTATGTCACCATGCAGTTTCCCACCTACCCCACTGCACTGGGATTCCAAGTGGGAAATTAAAAAGTGGCTCAAGGGGATAGGATCTAGGCCTGAGTATAAACCTACCCAAGCCTGGATTGTTAACTGAGGTGAAACTGACAGGCATGAGATGGTTTACGTTTTAAAGTGAACAAGAACAAAGTTTACTTCAGAAAAAGCATATAATAGGAGTTATGAGATGTTAGGTTTCGTACTGTATATGCCTCAGGAAAATGTGGTCTCAGGCAGGTTTATAACGTATCAGGACAGCACTCTGTTGTTACTATTATTTATTCGATTTTTATCCCGCTCCTTTCCCTGCCAGGCCAGGGCTCAGTTGTGAACCTACTGAAGTTTCCCCAGCTTTTCTCTGATCTTTCTCAAACCTGCTTTCCTGCAATATTTTGGGAAATATCACAGTACAGTCAGGATGGCTGCTGTGTGAACAGGAAAATTTGGATTCTTCCTCCTGTGTGGCGGCCTTTCCCCCTGACTCTGTCTCTGCTGTGGCTATTTTTCTCCTCTTGCTACCATGGAACTTTTTGTATTTTTTAAAACTTGTTGATTTTACATCCTTATATTGATATACTAGGAATAAGGCCCGTTGTGGAAATACATACAATGAGATCTAGAAAGAGGCTCGGGGAGAGTGCCCTGGCTTTGGGCACACAATGTCAATTTGCTGTGGTGCCCTCAGCAGGGTATAATGACAGAGTCCACCATTTTCTCCAGAGGAACTTATCTCTGCTACCTGAAGAGCAGTTGTAATTTTGAGTGATCTCCATCCCTCACCTGGAGATTGGCTGGTTTGGAGGGTGGAGTCTATGGCATTCTACCTGTCTGAGATCCAACCCCTCCTCAAACCCCACCCTCTCCAGGCTCCATCCCTCAAATCTCCAGGAATTTCCCAACCTGGAGTTGGCAACCCTATCTCCCTCCCAGCCAATTGTCAACCTACCGTTATCTGCCCCCTGACTTCAGCTTTCCATCTCCTCCCCCCTCTCTCCTGGAGAGCAGTTGTAATTCTGATTGATCTCCAGCCCCCACCTGGAGATTGGCAACAATGGTTCACCAGGATGGACTGGCTGGTTTGATGGATGAAGTCTATGACATTGTACCTGTCTGAGATCCCACCCCTCCTGAAACCTCACCCTCTCCAGGCTCCATCCCTCAAATCTCCAGGAATTTTCCATCTGGAGTTGGCAACCCTATCAGTACTGGCCCCAATGAGTTTTCTCCCAAAGGCCAAAATAGGTGACAGGACCAAGCTTAGTTGCCTACCAACAGGCACTGAGGGTCGCCAGCTCTAACTACGGAAATACCCGGAGATTTGAATGGTGGATCCTGTGGAGGGCAGTATTGGGGAGGGGGCAGAAGGACTCAGCAGGGTGTAATGCCATAGGGCCTACCCTCCAAAGCAGCCATTTTCTCCAGGGGAACTGATATCTATAATCTGGAGATCAATTGTAACAGCGGGAGATCTCCAGGTCCCACCTGGAGATTGGCAACCCTAGGGGAAAGTCAGCTGCACAGCAGGGGGTTGAAGAGAATGGTTTGATGGCCGCTGGGCCAAGATTGGCAACAATCGTTCCCCAGGAGGACATGGCTGGTTTGCAGGGTGGAGTCTATGGCATTGTACCTGTCTGAGGTCCCCTCACCCTCTCCGCGTTCCACCCTTCAAATCTCCAGGAATTTCCATACCTAAAGTTGGCAGCTTTATCTCCTCCCCTCTCAGCAGCCTCTTCCTAGGCAAAATTCTGTCTTTCTCATTAGCGGGGAGCAAAGCAGCTTACTTCATTCTCTTCGGCTTTGTGATCTGTACAGCAACCCTGTAAGGTAGGTTAGGCAGAAAGTCTGTGGCTGGTCCGAAATCACCCAGGCAGCTTCCATTGGGATGCTCCTGCTAAACAGGAGCAAGCAGCCAGGGCTAGTGATGCCATGCCAGTCAGGAGGCATGAAGTCACCCTGAGAGTGCTTGCAGGCCTAGGGTTGCCATTGCCAACAAAGACAAATTGATGCAAAGGAGGATGGAAAAGTCTCCATATCTCTATTTTGCCAGAGGCTCTGGGTGGGTGCCCTATGGTAAATGCACCAAACAATTCCTAAAGATTTCCCAAAACACTACTCTCTCAATAAATCATTTTCTACGCTCACAGCATCCCCTGCCAGAACGCAACTCATCCCCAGCACTTTGAATTAGTACCAGAGCTTTTTTTTTGCCTTGTAGTATTCTGCTTGTGGTGTGATCTGTCTTTTTTGTGGTATGGCATGGTTGTATTATTGGGTTTGTTTCTTTTGAAGGGGGTTGTGAGTGAGGACATATTTTACCTCAGAATACACCAGGTCGCATAAGCAACTGACAGTTCCAACTGTCTTGCAGGGGAGGGGGAGTTTGAGGTGCGGAATGAAGTCCAGTCAGCTTCCATATGCAAATGACCTTGAAATGCAGGCCCAATCAGAGAAGAGTGGCCTAGGCTGCACTGGGTGGGAGAGAACTCAAGCAACGCAGCTAGTGAATAGGGACAGCTTCTGAGTGACATATCAGGGAGCGAACTGATTTTGCCGGGCATAGAACTTTGCCACCCCAACTGGCATTTATATTTATAGAGAGATAGTTATAACAGTAAATGTAACAGCTTCCGTGAATTCCTAGCTTTCATTAAAAAAAAAAAGAACAGGAAGCTTTTGGAACTTCTGTTATGGAGATATGAAGGGGGAAAGGAATCTCCACAATGGAAGAGGCTAGAGTCTTACTTAAAAAAAAAGAAAAGAGAGAAAGCTGGAATTCACAGGACATGCTTATTGTTATAACAGTACATTGATATAATTATAGGAAATTGACAATTTTTTTAGAAAAAATGGAAAAGTTTTAGTGGCCCAGGGATGGCTGCTGCTGAGTGACTGGGGCAAGGAAACTGCCACAGAGAAACCACACAAGCTTATCACCACATGGAAACCACCTACACCTTCAAAGCCAAACTTATAACCTCCTGCCAAATCTTAAATTTTCCCAGAACAGCTCCTACTGTCTGATTCAGAGCACTCTGGCCAGCTGTTGTATCTTTGGGGTATATTTCCATGCTCTGCCGATCAAAGTAATGACCTAAACTTGCTTCTTTCACTAGGAAAAACTATTTCTCACCTTGACAACTAATCTCCAGTTAGTAGCAGTTTAATTAATTGGCACAACCCCTTCTTCATTTACAGCCAGTTTGGTGTAGTGGTTAAGTGTGCAGACTCTAATCTGGGAAAACCAGGTTTGATTCCCCACTCCTCCACTTGTAGCTGCTGGATGACCTTGGGCAAGCCATAGTTCTGACAAGAGCTGTCCTTGAAAGGGCAGTTCTTGAAAGAGCTCTCTCAGCCCCACCTACTGCACAGGGTGTCTGTTGTGGGGAGGGGAAGGGAAAGGTGTTTGTAAGCCGGTCTGAGACTCCAAGTGAAGGGTGGGATATAAATCCAATCTCTTCTTCTTCTTCATTTAGGAGAAACAAATTATGAAATAAAAAGCTCCCAGATATGATGTTATACTTTTCTTTTTCAAAGAAAATAATGATTGATTATTTCTTCCTCAGGGGTACACTTATGATGGCAATACTTGCAAACAGGTAAGTTTTCGGTTTCGAAACACTTTCTCTAAACCACCTCTTATGGGTTGGATCCTGCAATCCACTGTCCCAAGAACCATGGATCTTTCCTGTGCCCCTCCCCTACAGTCCTTTCTGAAGAAAGTGTATTAGCCACAAGGGTCAGAAGGGAGTGGGGAGGGAGCAAAATTATTCCTTCTTTCTTTCATCAGTGAAGCTTCCCTGATGGAAGACAAAAAAGGTGATTTCCCCTCCTTTTCCCCACTGACATCTCCCAGCGGTGTGACTCACATGAGCCCTGAGACCTTGGGAACAAATTTTCCCAGGGTCAGAAAGGACTGCTGTGGGAAAGGGAAAGATCCACGACTGACAGCCCCTTTTGCTGACTCATCATGGGATCCAACCCAGTAGTTAGAATTGTTGTGTGACAGAATTGCACACATTTAACCTTTCGTCCATGGATCACATTTGTGGATTCAGTCCCTTCATATGCAAAATTGTGCTGTCTAAGGCAGGGGTGTCAAACATGCGGCCTGGGGGCAGGATCAGGCCCCCGGAGGGTCTCTATCAGGACCGCAGTGGAACTGGCTGTCTTCTGCTTCTTTTTCCAGTTCTGCTGCTGCTGCATAATTGTAGATTTGCAGCTTACAGATACACACCTGAACAGCATACTCAAGTTTGCAACAGCACAGACATTTTGATTCAATAATTCAGAGCAAGAGGTGTCAGTTATCAGACACTGTTAAATAAACAAAATATTGCAAGAGTGCTAATGTTTTAAGCATGTTTTTATTTTAAGTTTAAAAAAACCCTTTGTGTTTGTGTCCTTTACAAAGTTTATATCTCCGATACCTGGCATTACATTTTATGACACACATGGCCCGGCCCAACAAGGTCTCATTTATGTCAGATCCGGCCCTCATAACACGTGAGTTTGACACCCCTGGTCTAAGGAAACCCCACATCTAGTGCTTGAGCTTTATCTCTAAAAACTATTTTGGTTGGCCAGGAGGTACACCTACCATCTATTATTTTAAGTATGTTGGATGAAATGTATTTTATGTTTTGAATTAAAATTCTGCTTTGTATTCATTTCCCAGCAGGGTGGATCATCCTCATCTCAACAAAATTATGGAAGTAGCCAGGTAAAAAAAATCCCTTCTCTTTATATCTCAGTGTATTACACTTCTAGAACTACTGTTTTGCTTATCATTCTTACAAGTTCTGATGCATAATAAAGTATATTTTGCTGGTTGTTCTTTGCCTTTTAATGTGAAAAAATCCTGATAAATTCCCATTGCCTTATTCCCATCTTCAAATTGCCCACTGGACCTGTCCCACCACTCTGCAGAAGCTATGACTATACATAGGATCAACAAAGGCAGTCGCTGACCCTGCTTTTTGCAAGGCGTCCAGTTCCGTGAAAGAGCTTGTGAATGTTCATTTGCTTCATACTTCCTACAGAATGCACAGAGGTGGAAGTCAGTGGGCACAATCCTATTCGTCCCCTCTGGGCATTCTGAGAACACAACCTGAAGAGATGAACAGGGCTTGTGTCTCATTCAGTTCTATTCGAACTAAGAGTACTGCGTACCTTTTCTACTTTTAAAGGTATCAATCCACAAAAAAGTTTTTTTTTTCTTATTTCCTTTGTAGGGTGGATCAACATCTCAACAAAGTTATGGAAGCAATACGGTAAAGGAGATCTTTCAGTTCAGCTCATTCTATTGCAGTTAATCTAAAAAGGCTTCTAAGCTAGCCAAAAAGTTTTGGAATATAATGAAATATTTGTAATTGTTTGCCTTCTAGGGTGGCTCATCATCCCAACAAAACTATGGAAGTAGTCAGGTACAGCTGCTTTTCAAGTACCTATATCTCATTTTCTTTTATTACAGCTACTACATGCTTTTCCATTTTAAAAGGTCCTAATTTGAGGGAAATAATGTTTTCCCTTGCAGGGCGGATCATCGTTCCAGCCAAGTTATGGAAGCAACCAGGTAAAGCAGATCTCTCTACAAGTCTCCTCTTATTACAGACCTTCTGCAACTGGTGCTTAGCTTGTCATTTTTAAAGGTTCTGGCAAAATAAAATATTTTTATTTGCATTCCAGGGTGGAAGTTATGGAAGCAACCAGGTAAAGCAGATCTTTCTATAAAAGTCTTCCTATTGCAAAATTGTTGCTTTGCTTGTCATTCTTAAAGGTTCTGGAGAAATTAAGCTTAGCCCCAACAAGACAGACCTGATTCGGGATTAGGTTTATGAAGAAGGTTGTGTTCCCCATGAATGGTCAGGTTCACAGTCTCAGGATACTACTGGAACCAGCTCCTCTGCTTGAGAAACAGGTGGAAGAGATTGCTGGTGGTGCTTTGCTACAACTTAGGCTCATCTGCCAATGGTGCCCATTCCTGTAGAAAGTGGAAATGGTGACAGTGATGTGTTACACACCATGTGCAGGTGTCTTCAGAAATGGTTTGGAAACTTCATGTGATGCAAAATAGGGCAGCAAGTTTGTGGACTGGGACTCATCTGGGTGAGCATCTCTCCCCAGTGTTACATCAAAAGTACTGTACCAGTTTGTTTCCAGCACCAGTTCAAACATCTGGTATTGACTTTTATAGCCCTAATCAGACTGGGACTGGGGTGTCTGTGGGACCAGTCTGTGGGACCCATATGTACCTACCCACAACTTAGGGCCATTTACTGCTGCCCTGCTCTGCAGGCCTGCGTGGAGTGAAGTCATATTGGTGAGCTTGAGGGGAGGGCACTCTGTGGTGGCCTTCAGGCCATATTCATAGTTGCCATGAATAGCTCGTTTGACTTCTTTGTTGTTGGCCTTCTGGAAATTGATAAAAGTTGTTATTCTTGAGGGTTTTTAATGTAAACTTAACTCTGCTTTGCTGCAATTTGAATTGGTGTTCTGACTACTGGTTTCTTTCCTTTTGATCTCTCATTTCACGGTTTTATCCTATGAAGGGAATTTTATACCTGAGCAGTTATTTGGCATCAACTTTTGTATTTTTTAGATATTACCTTTATGGTAATGGTATCGTGATACTTTATAACAAACTTTTTATTATTCGGATATACCAACATGTTCAATATTACAACTTTTCTTTCAACATATATCCTTTTCTCATATCTTCTCCCCCCCCCTTCTCTTGACCTCCCGCAATGCTCCCACCCCCTGCTTGTCCCTTTTACTACTCATTTCTTAGATTGCATTAAAACATCTTTTTTCCAGTTCTTCAATTACTACATATTCATATTCACTGTCAATTTTTCAGGTAACATTATAGCTATCTATTCAGTCAATTCCTTTTTCGTATTCTGTTGTTAATAATTATCAAAGCAAAGTAAATTATTTTTAACATCCCAATTAGTTTCCACGTATTCTGCCCTTGCCCCGCAGTTTCCGGAAACTAGTACCTCCAAGGTACTAGTTTTTTGCCACGCAGTTTCGGCTGGAAGCCTCGGTTGAGCCACGGGAGTGCTACGCTTCCCAGATGTGCTGGTGAGATCGCGCCCGGAAACTCCGCCTGTTTTCCGTCTCACTTGTGTGGCTTCTGTTCCGTGTGACCGCAGCCTATGATAGCTTTTCGGGCTACTTTTGTAATTTTGTTGTTTTGTCACTTTGTCTGTCAAGCTGCTTTAAATTTTGTTAGCCATTCTGGGTGCCCTTGAGGCAGAACGGAGGGGCAAACGTTTCTTAAACAAATAGATATTTTCATTGGTTTGTTTTCTAGGGTGGGTCATCATGGCAGCAAGGCTATGGAAGCAGCCAGGTGAAGAGACACCTCTCTAAAACTCACCCTGTGATCCCTGGCAAACTTTGCAGGGGGGCAGAGGGGGGCTATGGGAAGGAGAAAGGTCTGCTTGCACAGCCACTGGGCCCAGTTCCATGGGATCAAAAACACTAGGTTGTGGGGAGCGGGGTGTTGCATCACTGCAAGGTCACAGCAATAAAGAGTTGTATGCCATTTTTGTAGGCAGCTGTTTTATGCTGCCTGCTTTCTGGAGGTCTGCACTTGGCCAAAAATATAAATAATGTGTTTAAAAAAAAAAAACCCAAACCAAACAAAGAAAAAAATAATTTAAAATCAGGACAATGGGAGTATGCGGTTCATGACAGATCTCTAAAAACTGTTGCGCTCCCAGCTAAATTGGGAGAGTTAGAGGTTTGTCGTCAGTTGTGCCATAACAGAAAAGGCACAGAGGGACAGGGATGCCAGGCTTCATTGAGAAGAGATGCTATTTTCCATGCCCTACTGCAGCTTCAAAAGGTCGATTGTATAATTTATTATCGTCATGGCTGTTGGCCAGTTGGTGTCTTCCAGTGTACTCATGCCCCACAGAGGGCAAGAGGGTGATGTGCGTACTGGAGGGACTGTGTGACCAACAATCCAACACAGAGAACTCACTTGTACATACATGATTCCTTGCCAGATCAAATTTATCTTGATTGATAGAATTCCTTAAAATGAAGAGACCGTAATGGATATTTTCTTTCTGATTTTCCACAGGGCGGTTCCAGTTCTCAAGGAAACCGCAATCCTTGTGATGGGGTATGGCTCTTTCACATGGTTTGAGACATTTGGATAATAATAGGATGATGGTGGGAGCTTTCATATGTGCACTAGGCATGTGCGAATGGAGGGTAATCGGTGGGTTATCTGAAGCTAGTATAAAGTTGGATTCATGCTGCAAACATTGTTTTCTATATGACGTGCTACATTCAGCTAATGGTAGAGATTCATGTAGATTTTGCTCTTAGGAATGAATTTAGCTTCACGTCTCTCAGTGCACCCCTTAGGACTGGTTTTTAAACATGGGTGGTATGTGATATGTGGAAGGAATCTGACATCAAAAATCACAAAATTGAGAAACCTGTAGAAGAACATTTCAACCTCCAAGGACAGTCAGTGGGGAACCTCAAAGTGGCTGTTTTATTGCAAAGGCAATTTTAGAAACAGACTAGAATGGGAGATTGCTGATTACAACACTCAGGACAATGGAACCCCCATGGTTCAACAGAGATATCGGGTTCTTATCTTACTACATATGCTAAGTCACTCAGTTCTCCCATCTGTTAACTCTTTTATGTATGCTAATTTCCTGCCATTCACTAGGTTTTACCAACTGCTGTAATCCAATCTTAACTATACTTATTGCTCAGTTACTTATGTACCTTTACACTAATTAGCCATTCCTGGCAACTATTCCCCCCATATGTAATGGTTGGTGAAGTCTGTTTCAATGTATCTAATAGGGTTGTCATCCCCCTGATGGGGGTGGAGGTGTACCCGCTTTTGGGGGGGCCCAGTCCACCACCACTCAGCTGGCCGATGGGGGAGCCCTGCCCCCGAGCAGCCCCGTCTGCTCCGATGTGCCCAATGCAGTGACATCACCCAGAGGTTACGTCATTGCACAGGGCACATTGCGGGGGGGGGATGCTCTAGCATCTGAGAAAAAACTGTAGGGTAACCAGGATATTCAGGACAGTGGGCTGGGGCCCCCACCGGCAACAGGTAGGGATGTTGCAACCCTATATCTGAAGAAGTGTGCATGCACACAAAGCTTATACCCAGAATTCTGTTGGTCTTAAAGATACTACTGGACTCAAACTTTGTTCTGTTGCTTCAGACCAACATAGCTACCCACCTGAATCAATATCCTAAGTCAGCCCTTATGCTCCCCAGAAGTTACATGCAAAGAGGTATATATTTATAATATATTATATTTATAGAGTGCTTCCAACCAAAAATATGTTTTCCCTTCCAGGGCAGTTATTCTGGTACAACATATAGCAGCAGCAACTGCCCACAGGTAATTTTTTTTCTATTTCCTTACTTCTCAATGCCGAAACAGAGCGCCAGAAGCCTCCTGTGATTAGTTGCTGATTTTCTGATTGTTCCTCCTGCAGGGTGGATCTTCCCAGCAAAGGTTCGGCAGCAACCAGGTAAGGTACAGCATTTATTTTAATGCAAGACCTGTTGTCCCCCCCGCCCCTACACCATAAAAAAACCAGAGTGGGGGGTTGTGTGTGTGTGTGTGTGTGTGTGTGTGTGCATAGTACACTTTTAAGGGGGTCATCTTATATTCAGGGTCATACTGTATTTCTTTATTTTGCCATATCTCCTCTTTGGAGGCACAAGGCTTGTTAATATGACTGGAAGCTGCATGAGAATACAGCAGTGCTCAAGCGCAGAGCTTGCACAGGAGATCGTCCCAGCAGATTCACTTCTGCTGAGGAAATTCCATAGTTTACTGTTTTTAATATAAATTAATGAGTTCTCAAAGGTTACAGCTGTTGGTTAGCCCCATGTTTTCTAAACTTCTGATATCTGAAGAATACGTCTTCCTCTGAATTCAGTTTTAGGGACACTTCACTTTTACACACAGAGTGTTTACTTTTAGTGCACAGAGAATTTAACGCTACCTGCTCTCTGAAGAGCCCAGCCCCTGTGGTCCTAAATGAGACACAATACTGGGGATGCCTCCTCTGAGAGCAGGTAATTGTGCTATGTCTCCGCAGTGGGACTGCTAGCCTAGAATGATCCATATACATGCAGCAGGCAGCCTACTCCATGGATAAGAACTCTGGGCCTGCAAAAGAGTTTTGAGTTTTTAAAATTAATCTATTTCTCGTGGAAATACTCTTGTAACAGGTAAATGTGGCCTTGCACATAGTCTGGAAACTGCCATTTTACCAGTATCAAGTGCTGTGTTCAATGATCAAAAAAAAAAAGTGGTTGCATTCAGACATCACAACAACCCTCTATTTGTCCATGAAAGGCATAAACACAGTTTGGTTTTGTGATCACATGCTCCCTTTGCTCCCCCCCCCTTCTCCTCTCCTTGCATACAGAGTGTGATTAAGAGCTTCCTGGTGATGCTCAAATATAGGCACTTAGGCAAACTGAATTTCTGAGCCACCCCCAGTTTAGCATCCCAGTATGAAGGGTGTGTACAACCATGAAAACAAGCTATGTTCGTGCTCTTCATGAGCAAATAGAAATCTGTGTGACATTTGAACGCACCATTAATTCAAATTCCAACTAAGAAATGTGCGCTTTATTCTTTTTAAGGATGGTTATTCATCATCACAAAGCTATAGTTTATTTATTTATTTATTTATTTAATTTTATTTATACCCCGCCCTCCCCGCATGCGGGCTCAGGGCGGCTTACAACCATATGGCACAAAGTGCAATAAAATACAATAAAACAGTTTAAAACAATTTATACGTGGGCCACGCCCAAGGATCCTGCGTGACTAAAACCCTCTCTCCATATTGCACATACCCTTTTCATTCCAGGGGAGGTTACTGTGGCCCCCTGATGTTATTTGCCACTTGACCTCCGGCGGTGCTGTAAAACGGTCCCCATTGGTGGTGGTGGTAGCGGCGGCGACTCCTATTCGAAAGCCTGGCAGAAGAGCTACATCTTGCAGGCCCTGCGTTAGGTGGTCGGTACACCAACCAA